GCACCACTCTCCCAAATCCAATGGCCTCCCTGAGCACCACTCTCATATATCAGTGGCCTATCCAAGCACCACTCTCAAGAGACTCTATGTGAGCTCTTCCAGTTCAAAAATATTTTTCCTCTCCTAAGTCCTAGGCTAAACTCATGCCATAAGGCATCACATGCAATTATGCATCACACATCATACATGGTCTGCCCACCATCATGATCAACAATCATACACATGTCATAAGACATCATATGCAATAATGCATCATACATCATACATGGTCTACCTACCATTATGATCAATAATCATACACATATATATGAACATATACTCATGCCATATCAGATTCAAACATTCATACGTATCATCACAAAGCATACATATGAATCATACTGCACCATACATCATATATCATACATACATGATCTAAAACTTCAACTTTAAACATACATAAGCATCAATTGAAATCAATTATTTATAAATATATTCACTCTTGGCGCAGTCAGCTCGCGCCTAACCTAACACCAACCCGAGAGCTCTAAGCTCTTCCACGCCTGGCGCACTCAACTTGCGCCCGGCCTAAATCCCAATCAGAGAGTTTAAAAACTGTCATCCAAACTAACAAATCCAGCCACATGCAAACACAAAAACACAATGCATAGGCTCCATACAACTCAAAATAAACTTAAATCTCATATGCATTCAACCAATGCATCAAAATTATCAAAATCCTCTTTTTTCTCAAAATCCCAAAAAATGAGATTTTCTTCAATCCATCTATGGATTCTTAACATTCATACAACAATTGAGTTTTTAAACTCACATGCAACCTAACAACAAACATTCTAGCTTTCCTCACCTGAAGATTGGCTCAAAATAGCCAATAACTGAGAATAAGTAGAATTTTCTTCCGAAGCTCAACCCGGAACTTCAATCCTCCCAAAGCAAGCTTCCTAATCTGAATTTCAAGAAAAGACAAAAGGCATTAGTGATCTAGAGGAGAAAAGGAATCATACAGAGAAATTTAGGAGAGAAAGGAGCTCACAGACTCAGAGTCCTTCTCTCTAAAACTTCTCTCTAAAAATTTCACTTTCTCCTCAACCACCAACCCCTATTTATAGAAAGGAGTGGCCAGAACGGCCTGTTCCGAATCCGGAACGGTCCGTTCTGAACTCCCTCAACTTGCACAAAAATCACATGTAGAAGGGCCCGTTCTGAAATCAGAACGGCCCGTTCTGGGACTCATCTAGAACGACCCGTTCTCCATCCAAAACGGCCCGTACTCCTCCGGAATGGCCCGTTTTGGGGTTTGGAAAGGCCCGTTCTCCCTCTAGAACGACCCGTTCTTAGCTATGTTTTGTAGGTCAATTCAGTAGCTTGGAGCGGCCCGTTCTGGGCTACTAAATCACCCATACTGAACTTTTGGGCCTTCTGAAATAATTTGCTACGTTACAATGATCACTATTTTAAAAAGACAACATTAATTCAAATTTTAATATTAAAATAAAATGAATGTTTTTAAAAAAAAAATTTAAAATAAATTTTAATAATAAGATAAAGAAATTAAAATATGTTTTTATATTGAAAGAGGTGATACATTTTCATTATTTAAAATTGATTTATTGTGCATCTTACCAAGACTGTTTAGCATGTTATATGTCGACATTATGTCTTTGCTCCTCAACATCTTACACATCAAGCCCACTATATAAAGCTATTTTTTGTTAATGTATATCGTAAGAAATCACTTTTAGGTTACATTGAATTGTAGATCTATGCAGCAAGTTTTATCGAATTTTTAAGTAACTTTTTATAATTTATTTTTTGTAACATAGTTTTTAACTTTTAAATTAGCTAGGTTTCTTTACATTTATATATGCCATTAACTTTGCTAAATTATAACCAAAATATTGATAAAATATAATAACTTATTTAATGTGTTATTTATTATTAAGTAATCCTAGTAAGAACTCAATTATAATATTTTAGAAATATTGGGAAACAATGAAAATATTTTAAATTATAAATATTTATTTAAAAAAATTATGTACAGAGCAATATAGTTTTTCTTTTACTATTATGCTTTCATAAGTATTAATTTAATCATAAAGTGTGATGAAATGCGAACCTTATATATATTTTATATGATCTGTGACTCACTATAAGCATACAAGAAGATGCTTTAACTTTATAGTATAGCTCAATAATAATTAAATCAATAAAGTTCTATATAGTGGGAATGGAGTGCGAGATGTTGATTAACAAAGACATAATATTCATTAATCATACTAAGAGCATGTCTGGTGAAATTGTTTATAAGTAATTTCTTGTATTACATTATATAACATCAATTCTTTTTTACTTTATGGATTGCTTAAATTTTAGTATTGGAACTTTTACAAACAACTTTGCTAAAATTTAAGTAACTCATAAAATAAAAAAGAGCTGATATGACACATAGAGTTGTTTATAAGCAACTCCCACTACAAATGTTCTAAGATACATATGTTATATATATGAGACCCAATAGTATGAAGAATGACTCTTCTACTTTAGCAATTTCTATATTTCACTTTTTTTAGTCTAGAGGTCTAAACAAGTAAATGAAATGTATTTTCACAAAAATGTTATATATATATAATATCATTATAAATTTAATATATATATAATTTATTTTATATATATTTATATATAATTTTAAAGTAAATTTTAAATAAAATTTAATAATATATTATATGTCACTATAACATATATCTACATTATTTAACAATATATTAACATATATTATATCTATAATATAAGTCAAAGTAGTTTTTAATGATAAATATTTTATTATTCTATAATATGTATTATTACAAGATTATTTTTTTAGTATAGTAAATATAAAATATAATAATAATTAAAATCATATATTGGGTGGGGTGTGATTCCACATTTAATTTGTATTTGGGTTAATTTAATTTGTATTTGGGTTAATTTAAAGTTCAGATTTTTACTACCTTATCTTTTTGTTATTTTTCTATTTTGGTTTGGAACCAGAGCCAACCTAAAATTTTTAATCAAAATGAATGGTGATTAAAATATTTAAAAATCCGTATCCTCGATATAAAAGTACATTCAATTGAAAAGTAGCAAGTAATATGACTTGTGTGAATGAATCATAACTTCAACATATATGTGATGAATAACTCGAAGGTGTTTTGGCCTATATATTTTTCATTTGTTTTCTTAATTTATATTCATGAAGGTAGTAAGCTGTTTTAAAATTTGAAATTAATGTAATTTATAATGAAAAATAAGATATATTTTTAGTCTCTAAAATTTTCAAAATCCAATTTTAGCCTCTCAGAATTTTAATATACGGTTTTAGTCTCTTTAATTTAAAAGTGCATTGCACTTGAAATTTTAAAAGTGACTTAAATAATACTTTAAATTTTAATATAAAAAATAATGCTTAAATTTTTTTATCAAATATTATATAAACAACTTTAAAAATAAAATAAAAATTATTTTTAAATTAGATAATTTAAAATAAGATATTTTTTAAAAAGACTAAAATTAGAGGACTTAAAAATATAGTTTACTCTTTTAGATTAAAATAAAATATATAAAAAAAATAAAAATAAAAAACCTTGGTGATGTGGAACACTTTGTTTTGGGGAGTTGTGAATCATCCATTGTGACCACTTTATGAGAGATCAAATCCACCGTTTCCACCCCTTCATGTTCTTCAACCCAGCATCCTATACCCTGCATTTATGAATTACAATCCAAACAAAGAAACAAGAGAAATCCCAAAGTTGTACTCTCCCAAAGAATCTGCTCCAAAAACTGGTTATTTTTAAATAATATTTGGCAGAAACAATGTGCAAAACAAATCACTCTGATAACTCTAGTAATAGCTATCCAAAGAGAAACGTGTTTTACCAACTCTTTTCCCATAACTTTAACAATATAATCAACTATAACCTTTAAATAGACTTGAGATGTTAGGACATAATATCGACATATTAACCAAATCAAGACCAATAATGAACCCATTCTAGGTAAATCACACATGTTAAGGGGTTTGCATGACAACATGTTGTCAACATAAGTGCATATTTTATTTGGTCTTTTTTTTTTTTTAGATAAGATATCTTTTCCCACTATGGATGCACGTCATTCCATTCTATGACCCCATTTTTGCTTTTAAGACTCTTTTTCAGTCCAAAGGACTTAAATGCCCTTGGGTGCTAAAAGGTGCTTTTGCCTTGCCATCCAAAAGCATTGCAGATTATTCAAACTAGTAATTTCCATCTAGGAACATGCATAAATGCTCAATTCAGATTGCAATATCCTTTTACAAAAATATAAATTCCTTCATGTTTTACTAATCCATTGTGGCCTGGCTCAACACTTTGAACAAATCACATCAATATGTTATTTGTATACTATTTTCGTACACCGTTTATATATTAATTAGTATCTAAACATCAAATCATAAAGATTCTTTTCATATTTAACTATTTTACATTAATATATTTTTTAATTGATCATTACTATGTGTTGAACATAAGTTGTTAAGTATGTGAAAAGAAAAAGAAAAATGTCAATACTTAATAAAACAATTGCATCATCATTGTAAATATCATACTCACTAGTAGTCTAGTACAAAATAGATTTGGCATCAAAATAATCGGATTAGGGTAATAGGTTATAATTATAAATTTTTAAATACACTTATAATAAAGTTTGCTAACGTGTTTTAGATGAGATTTTGAAGTATCTTTTCAAGCTTCATTCCTTTGAACTGATTACGAAATTAATTCTCAGTGTAGCGTTTAATCTCCCTTAAAAGTCCTTTTCCTTTCCAATGATGTATTATGAAGAAAAAAAATCGAATTAAAAAATGAAAATGAGTATGGTTGTGGCCCTTTTACCAAATTTATGTTTGACGTCACATAGTGTCATTGGCTGTTCAAGGTGCTCATGTTTTGAGCCTCTCAGGGTGGCTTTTATTATTTTCTCTCCTTTTGTCTTTTATTACATATGAGCAATCCTAGATCCCAAGAACACTGTATCAACACACAAACATAACCTTTTCCCTCTTGTATATAACAATCATGAAAACACTTCTCAAAGACTCATACCTAGCACCAACAATTCCTCATACGTTCCTACACCACCCATAATTTCTCTTCCTTCACTCACTAGTGAGTTGTGACAATATCAATTTCCACAAAACTGATGAACTTTCTAGCTAGTAATTCAACAACCACCATGTCAAAGTTGTTCTATATTTGTTGTTGTGTCCTTATTATTTTACCAACCATGGTCTTAGGATATTCTTGTTCATGTGACACTGAAGAGGGTAACAAGAGTGATCCAAGTGAAGTCCTCCACTACAAACTTGGCTCAATTGCTTCTGTACTTTTTGCTGGTGCTCTTGGTGTGAGCCTTCCATTGTTGAGCAAGAAAATCCCAGCACTTAACCCCAAGAATGACATATTCTTCATGGTTAAGGCCTTTGCTGCAGGTGTGATCCTTGCCACTGGCTTTGTCCACATACTCCCTGATGCATTTGAGAACTTGACTTCACCTTGTTTGAAGGATAACCCTTGGGGCAAGTTTCCCTTCACTGGCTTTGTTGCCATGTTGGCCTCCATAGGGACCCTTATGGTGGACTCATTTGCCACAGGGTTTTACCATAGGCTACACTTTAATCCCTCTAAGCAAGTTCCTACAACTGATGAAGAAATGGGGGATGATCATGTTGGTCACGTACATGTTCATACACATGCCACACATGGCCATGCTCATGGACCATCAACTTTCTCCTCTGAGGGCTCAGTAACACCTGAAGTAATTAGGCAGCGTATCATATCACAAGTAAGATCATTTAGTTGTTTCCAAGGAATTTATATCACTTACACAATTCTCAGTACTTTTTTCTTGGATATGTTGGATTTGGAAATCTTAATATTTGTGTTATCAATGTTGTTGAGTTTGGATTGTTGGCTTGTGTGCTAGGTGTTGGAGATAGGAATAGTGGTCCATTCAGTGATCATTGGAATATCATTAGGAACTTCAGGGAGCATTGATACCATAAAGCCACTTCTAGTGGCCCTTTCTTTCCATCAATTTTTTGAGGGGATGGGGCTTGGTGGTTGCATCTCTCAGGTATTGCAATTTGGTTTGTATATTTTCATAAATAAAAAATTAAGGTTATACATAGATTTTCCATGTAAGTATTTATTAATAAAATAATTTGTGCCTTTCTCCTAAATTAAAATCTAACTTTTATATTGGAGCTAATTTTGCGCTACTTCTCAAAAAAAATTTGCACTGCCACTAAATTAAAATTCTAAAAGTTTAATTATAGAACAGTATCAATAGTAATAAAGATGGAAAAAAGATTCATATGGGCTTTAGAAAACACTGAAAAATGAAGTTGGATTCATTTACTATTATGAAATGTAAGTTTCAAATAGAAAAGAATTTTGTGCAATTTAGAAAGTAGCACATAATGGGCTCCAAAATGTTGTCATGATGGCAACATCCTTATATTTTCATCTAACTTTTTTCATGAAGGGAAAAAGAGAAAGACCAATCAGTCACTAGTTAATTAAAAACATGTTTTTGGTTGGTCCTATAACTTTAAAATTGGTTACTAGGTTCAAAAAAGAAAACAACCCATCTACATGTTTTTACAAGCTTCTAATTAATGCTAAATAGAGTTATATTATGGCAGGCAAAGTTTGAGTCAAAGTCTATGGCAATTATGGCTACTTTTTTCTCTCTAACAACTCCAATTGGGATAGCAATTGGAATGGGAGTGTCAAGTGTGTACAAAGAGAATAGTCCAACTGCTTTGGTTGTTGAAGGGGTTTTCAATTCTGCTTCTGCTGGGATTTTGATCTACATGGCATTGGTGGATCTACTAGCAGCAGATTTTATGAACCCAAGGTTGCAGAACAATATGAAGCTCCAATTAGGGGCAAATATCTCTCTTCTTTTAGGTGCAGGTTGCATGTCTCTATTGGCCAAATGGGCTTAAGTTTTGGTCTTTCACTTTCAACATTACTCAGTAAAATAGAGCATTTTCTTATGCTTAATTTTCTTTCACTTCAATATTGTTTTTACTTCTTTCTCTTCATTTTCTTTTGGTTTAAGTGCATTTTTAATCTCTTTTAAATGAAAAAATAGTACAACTTTAGTAGTTTTATTTTCATAAAATTATTTCTTTAAATATTACAATTGTGGATATATATATATATATATATATATATATATAAAATAAATTTTGCCAGTGTGACATTAATAGATATTGACATGATAATTTAATGTGTTAACTTGTCATGTCAACATGTGTAGCACATTAACACAAATGTTGAATTATCATGTCATATATGTTACTTTACTTTTTATGGTGATTATCATATGATTTATCAATATTATGTTATATAAATTTGTTAAATATAAAATAAAAAATGGATGAAAAAATCAAAATGATATTTTTTTAAGAGAAAAAAGTTATATATAGACAATGTAAAATGTTTTAGTGTTATCTAATTAGAAACTCATATATGACGAGTTTGTTAATTTTTACTATAATTATTTTAAAATTATTAATAATAACTTTTTATTGATTGATAATTTAAATATTTTTACATTTAGATTATATGATCATTAAACTCATGATAATTAATTATAATATTTAAAAACTAAAATTTTGAAATTAAAATATGAAGTCTTTTTAATCGTGTGCTGCATCAAAATAAGCACCACCAGGAATATGAATAGAGAAATAAAAATGCAGTTTATGCCGTACTTACAAAACTTTTACATTAGAAATATAAAGTATTGGATGCTTTTTCAATCATATTCTTCAATGATTGATGATGAGGAACGAAAGCTTAAAATATCTATTAAGCATTCAGCAATAAAATAACAACTTTAAAATATAAATAAATTAAACTAGAAAGTCAAAATGAAATTTTTAAACAAGTCGTTGGTACTTAGCTAGATTTGGTCTTTTTAAAAACGTTTCATGCTATAATTTAAAAAAAAATTCAAATTATAAATTGTATATTGACATTCTTTTTCTTAAAATATTGTACTAAGCGACAAAATAGTAGAAAATAAGTAAAAGAAAAAAAATATTAAAGTGGAATATAAACAATAATTACGTAGTTTTGTGGAGTTGTGGTTCGTCAATGGTCAACAACTCAGTGGAACAAGTTCTTGTAAGAACCCCACATTCAAATTGTTTCCCAAAAAGGTCATAATACTTTAACACTTAAATGATACATAAGGCAAATTGACCATAGGTTACAACTTTACAAGGATAACTAAGCACAATATGCATGTTGTATATAATTGCATGGTGGGTCCAAAGGGAAACTAAATTTAATTTTTTGATATGTTTTTAAATTTAAATCTTGTAAATACAAAAAAAAAAAAAAAGTTAAGAAGAAATATCTTATTAAAAGTGGGAAAATTGAATTCTCAACAAGGATGAGTAGTCAACAAATTGATGATACTTTGAACTAATAATTTGGTAAGAGAATATATGCATTATGTGTCCATGTTGAAACACTTTTAAAAAAAATGATTACATACTTAATGTATGATTTGTCAATGAAATTTGTGACACCTTCTATCTCACATACCATAACACAAAATACAATATAAAATTGAATAATTTTAATATAATAAATAAACTCAAAGTTCACATAGGTAGAGAGAATCATATTTTAACATAAACTAGACTTAGTAGAAATAACAATTACAACATAAATAAAAATTAAACTACTCAAAGTAAATAGCAAGAATCAAATCCTAACTAGTCCTGACTAATTCATCGGTGTCACATATTCCATCAGAGAAAAATCCAACATTAAGTATTAGGTCTCATCGCCAACATCCTCAACACCATGTTGAGGATCACCTGCAACAATCATAAGAAAACAACACAAAAGAGAAAGAGAGTGAGAAACATCTCATTATAGCTCATGGTGCAAGAATGCAAACTAGCTAGACAAACACAAACAACACATACAACATGATATAACATACATAGTTATACATCATCATATTTAAACTCATTCATAACATAGTAAGTAACAATATATAAGATTATAATGCATATGCAATAGACACAAACTACATGTTATCATGCATGTGGCATCAGTAAAAACATTACATATCACATTTGTGCATTATCGTTAACAATACATGTAAAGTAGTCTAGGAATCACTACTACAAGATGCATATTCTACATCGGTTCTCTAAAGTCATCTACATCGGTTCTAAAACCGATGTAGAATAGAGCGATGTAGAAAATGTATACATTTTTACATCGGTTCTGAAAAACCGATGTAGATTTAAGCATAAATCTACATCGGTTGTCCAGAGAACTGATGTAGATTTATGCTTAAATCTACATCGGTTTTCTTAAGAACCGATGTAGATTGCATTTTTAAAAAAAAATCATGCTTATTTGTAGAAGAGGACCAACACAACCCAGAAAAATCTCATTAAAGGAGTTATTTAATAATATATTATTAAATTCAAAAGCATTTGCCAATAATCATGTGTAAAATTTCCCAAATAAGTGTAAATCCTTATACAACTATAATTAATAGGACAAGAGATAATATACTTGGGCAGAAACATACATAACACAAAAATCTATATATAAGAAATGTATTTATTAATTATACCGTCAGCAAAAATCAAAAGTCAAAAATACCAGAAGACTACAAAACGGATCATAACTGACAGTGACATCCTTTAATGGGAAGAACATTGATTAGTGTCTCAATTTTGGCTATTTGAGACTTTTATGTTTCCTAAATAAAAAATATAAAAAGGAAAACAAAAAACAAAGACTAGCATTAAGTAGTAGGAATAAACAGACTTGAAATTATCAAAATGTGTCAAGATAATCAATGAAATACACTTCATATTATTATATCATAATGCATGTATCATTTATGTTTGTACTAGAGCCTAAAATAAATTAAGAATGAAACAAATGAAAAATTGTACTCCTGTTTTAGGATTAGGATCCAGAATTTTATGTATGAATGACTTTGTGTGAGCAGAAAACCAGAATGGACAAACAAATTCTGCAGCATTGATCTACAAGTTTAAATAAAAAGAAAAATCAACAAGAAGTTAGAAGCTGGTTATCAATCTACACCACTGAAAGCTCCTAAAATGAACACTTAGCACACTCACAAAAGGTCCCTCATGTTATCTAATAAGGCAAGAGAATTGAGTTTTGATAGAGAATGAGTGAAAAACAGAAGTCAGAGAGATTATAACACTACCTACACATTTTGCTCTTCTTTCTAGCTCTTACAAGTCTGCTTCAAGATTATAAGAGAAAGGTAGAATACCCTTCTGTATAGTGTTGGAAGGTCTGCCTCCTCAAAAGGAAGATATCCAGCCATTAGAACATATAGGATGACTCCACATGACCAAACATCAGCTGCCACACCATCATATCCTCGATTGCTGAGCACCTGCAAATGATCATTTCAGCGAAACCAAAGCACATTACAAGTGAACATCATTGCACTAAAGGAAAAAATCACATGTGTACTAACTCATAATTAAATCACTTAGAAGAAAAATGCAACTTGCCACAACCAAAATTGTTTCCTAAAATAACTAGCCTTGTGCATATAAATTGACTATATCATTGTCATGAGATGAGAAAAGTTAAATAATTATTGATTCAATAATCAAATTTATAAATAATTAACTGAGATGGAGATGACTATTGTTCCAAGATAAAGGCATAATTTCTACTCCTACATATTGAATTAGACTACTTTAAATTTAAAGTGTATTAATTTCTTATTTTAGTCTCACACAAGGGCACAAAGAATGACATGTCATTCTTGATTTCACTTTTCTAAATTCTAAATTCAAATTATATTATAATTTAGTTGCATATATCCTCATTTTCAGTTTTGAATACCTTCTCTGTTAATCTATGTATTTTAATATTCCTGCAATTTAGAGAAAAACAAAAAAGTTGTAATGCAGAGGACACTCCCCTCTCCCTGGACTCTTTGGAAAAATATTTTATATTTTTATGATGAAATATATTTATTATGATAAATATATGATTATATTAAGAGATTGATTAAAAATTGATATACATTTTATTGTTGATGAATTTTATGATTTAAATAACGAAATTCACAAGTTAGATAAAAAAAGGCATGATGTATTTAATTTAACAATTATATTTTAACATTTATTTAAATTTATTATTAAAAAATTGGGGAGCCCTTTGACAGTGTTTTGGATCCATCCTTGTCAATACTAATGATCTATTTTATCACCAGTGATTCGTTCATAAAACCATAACTAAACTTGATATGGAGAATTACATCAAACTGTTAATCTAAAACAAGTGGCCCATCACCCATATGGAAAGCAGCTAAAGATCATGGCAACAATTATGAATGACGTCCATGTTGTGTATAACCAATTTTACCTCAGGGGCAACATAATTTGGGGTCCCACATGTGGTGTGAAGAAGGCCAACACCCTATAACAAAGAAAGACAAAGAGAAAATGACGGAAGACATTAGTTCTACAGCTTTTACCATTTCCAAAATCATTATCCAGAGACAAAGCAAAAACAAGCTATCAGTAGGATGGAATCAATGTATGTTTCTTCTTAATTATAAAAAAAAATCTGCTTAGTCATCTTCATTTTACGAGTACAATCTTACCTGTTTAGTCAATGCACTCAAACCAAAGTCAGAAACCTTCAAATTTCCATAAGCATCAAGAAGAAGGTTTTCAGGCTATTTAAAAGAGAAGAAAAAAAATTGATCAAGACAGAGCATTAAATGTTTAAAACATTTACTACAGTAAGAATGTATACACACACACATATAATATTTTTTCTTTCACCTTCAAGTCTCTATGGTACACACCCTTTCTATGACAATGATCAACATCGTCTATAAGTTGTTGAAACTAGCGCCTATATTCGTTTTCAGGAAGCTTTCCATGATGAACCTACAGGTCCAGAAGTAGTGTAATTGTAACATAAAGTCATGAACAACAAACAAAATCTAATAAAAAAACTAATCAAATC